CCCCAAAACCCCAAAACCCCAAAACCCCTTCTTTGATATTCATAATTGAATATAATATCAAATACTATGAAAATGGCTAAAAGAATAAGGTTTCAGTCAATTGACTCTCAAGAAAATGGTTCTAATGTCAGGATAGCAAGTTTTGGACCCAGAGACATTAATAATGAGTAAAATTGCGCACTAATTTCTAGTTTTTTGACCGTCAATAATTCTGAAATGAACCAAAGTGTTTCAAAATAGCTTGAATGAGGAAAGCTCTGACCAATCAGGCCAATGATCACCCAAAAATAGTAAGAAAATTAAATTTGAAATCCCTGGAACTAGTCTCAAAAGAAGCAGCTTGACTAAAGAAGATACTAGGGTGGCAAGAATGCGAAATTTCTATTCCAGAGCTAAAGCTAAAACAAAAGGGGTGAAGAAACCATCAAGGCAGAAGAGGTGCCGGCTGCAGACTTTGAAAAGAAGTGCTACTAATGTGAGAAAGAAATCCTGTCTTAGGAAAAAGAAGGTTGCTAAGTCCTTGATCGAGGAACTTGAAGACTTTACGCCAGTTCCTTGTGAGAAGATTGAGTCTAAGATTGATTACTACTTCTCTCCATATAATAAAGGTAAGCAAAAGTCATAGGAATAGGCAAATTTGTTAGGTTTTTAAACCCATTGTTTTGATAAATCTCCTGAATCTTTTATACGTTATTAAATTAGCCCTTCTAAAAATAGGTATAGAAGGAAATGAAAATGCTCATAAGCTCCATTATAACTAAGCATATGGAATTTGAGTCTGACAAACCAATATCCTCCCTCCTTGCAGAAGGGAAAGATTCAGGTGGATGGAAGAAGCTCATGAACTTTATAACTAAAGAGGACCAAGTTATATTCAGGCGATCACTTAAAAAGATCAATAACCAGTTATATTCCAGATTAAGAAAAATTATTTCGAAAAATCCAAGGAACAAGTATTTTCAGCTTCAGAGATCGATAGGAGTAGCTGATCCTATTTTTAGTGACTCGTCAGAGAGTAATAGTCCTGTTAAGAATGCATTTATTAACCATAATCGGATCAGCTTGAACTTCAGCTCAATGCCAAGGTGAAGGTAGGCAATATTAGATAATTTGGTAGCAAAGCTTATGGAAGCTTCATAAGTCACAAACCCTCAGACAATCAGATTGATAAAGTCTTAATGAACATTCAACATGAAGAGATGAGCACTCTTATCGGCAAAGCTAACCAAGATCTAGCTGAAAAGGATAACAAGAAGTACGATTTATTTTAGCTATAATCTCATTAGTTTAATAGGAAGGAAGAAACTTTTAGTATTAATTTCGATGAGCAAATGGCCATAATAAAGGAAAGAAGTCCTCGGAAGCATTCTTCCTTTAAGCATAGAAAGAAAGCTCAGCTACTATCTAAAAAGAATAAGGATGATATAGCTGCTTATTGATATCTCAAAAAGTCTTCGTTAAGGAGAAATATCAAATTGTTTGAGCCAGTAGAAATTAATAGGTCTATTGTAAATTTGGATACGACCAAGTGCATGAATGAACATGAATCTTCTTTAAAAAGACCCATTTCTAAAGTTCAAACTTTAAAAGTATCTCGAAACCAATGATCTTATAGACAATGCACTCTAGCTGTAACATTAGCGTTGATGACTCTACTAAGCAGCAATCCTTCTACAAACAGTCGCAGTTAATCCCAGATTCAGAGAAACTAGTGGTCAATGGAAGGTATATCAAGGCGATGCAGAAACAGTGTCAAAAGGTGCTTCACACCGCTACGAAATCTTTTAAATTACCGAAGAAAGCTAGTAGGCTAATTTTTATAAAGCTTTATAGGAGGTTTACAAGTTATTAAAAAAAGGAGGATTAAGAGAAAGATGTTCCTGGCCAAGACATACCAAGATCTCTAACCACATTAATTGGTATCCAACCGATTTGACCACATTTATCTAGTACCGGGCACTAATTATGATAATCTTGCAATATTTTTAGAAGTAGAGTTTGAAAATAATATACTTAATGCTTCTAGCACCTTAGATGTCGTCTTAAGGAGCCTGATACTTCACCGATGTGGACAGTGGTTAAATCCAGCTAAGATTAAAGCCTTCTAGTTTGATTTCTTTGGTTTTATAAATAGTTCGAAAATAGAATATATTAATCTCTAAGGCTACCATTTCCTAAAAATTCAATTGATAAATTGAATAAAGGGGTTTTGGGGTTTTGGGGTTTTGGGGTTTTGGGG